ATGCGAACCAAGCTCTTGCAACGGTTGTATAGGGATCGAATGATTTCCAATTTTTAAAAATGAAATTAATTTTAAAAATTTCATTTTTCTAAAATGAAAGTTTAAGTTTTTCAAGCTTTTTTTCTTTTATAAATATTTTTAGATGCACTAATATTTGTATTATTTTGAATGATCACGTTGCCATGGAATAGTAGACTTATGGACTGCTATTGTACATAGTGGGGTTAAACAGAGGGGTATTGGTGTGAATGAGCTTTCTGGTCCTACAAAGCTTCAGGCCAAACTTTAATGCTTCAGCAAACACTAGCTATGTGCTCTGCTTTTTTCTTATGTATACACACATGCCATTTGCATTATAGGATATGGATTTGGTTTCCTCTGTCTTCTGGTGAGGAGGACAGACGGACAGCAGTAATAGAGACAAACTGAAAGACAGCTCCGTTTGAGCTAACGTGGCATTATTACACATAAATGGGAAACTGTAATTTAGGCTGCAGTAGCTGCATGAGTTGCTGATCTCATCTCACTGGTCACGTTTGGGTATGCTTGACCTGGTTCTAACTGTGTGTGTGTGTGTGTGTGTGTGTGTGTGTGTGTGTGTGTGTGTGTGTGTGTGTGTCAGTTCATGACATGCCAGGCTGATTAAGGTCTCTCTCACTTCCAATCTCTTAGTCTATCCTTGTCTCTATCCCAGCCAATGCCATATTGGATTTTGCCTGCATGCCAGACCATAGTGAATCCCACCTCCCCCATCCCCGCACGCATGCATACTCACAGACGCACAGAATGTGTGTTTAACCAGTTGAGAGCAAACTGCTAGATTAGATGGCATTGACACATTCTGGATCAGCTGTCATGTGTGCACAGAACCTCTGACAGTGCTGAGGATTGTACTAGTATTTTCACTGCGCAGACAGAATGGTACATGCCAGTTATCCCAATTGTTAGGAAGTCCAAGTGAGTCTTAAAGCTTTTAAGAATAATTAGGAATCCCACATATGAGGTCACCTCTTATGTTATTTTTCTTCTCTTGTGTAGTTCTCTTAACCAAATGTGTCATTTCTTGAAACCAACTATACTTTATTGGGAAGGTTTAGTCTGCTCAGCCTTCCCAAAAAGGACAAGAATCCACTGCTGTGATGACAAGGAGAGAAGGGTTGAAACTGAAGACTGATTCCTCCCTTGGTCTCGTACTGAGCTACTATATCATAGTATTTATATGATGAAGTAGCTACGTGGTACACATGCATGTGTCCTGTGCTACATGGCTAAAAAGATAAAATTCTAAACAACAGTTGAAGAGAACTCATTTAATATTTAAGTGACACATAAATATTAGACTTTGTTATTTATTGAGGATAATGGTCTATTAATAAAAGTCAAAGTATGCAGACATTTAGGATTACCAGTTAATTTGAAGGTGAAATCCGATGCGGGTTTTGATTTAAAGTGGTGCTCCCCATTATGTTTTTCTCCACAAATATTTAATACATGGTCATGGTTTCACAGCCAGCAGGATTTTTTTGTCCCGGCCTTAGAATGTTTGCATCATGTCTTTGACATCTAAGCAGTAATGACAAATTTCTGACCAAAACTCGTTGCATTTAATGCAGTTTTTTTAGCGCTTAATTTGTCAGTAGCTGAAGAAATGTAATGTCATGTCCACAGCCTGGGCCTCATATTTCACTCTGTCTGTGAGAGATGAGTGTGTGTTCTGCCAGTGTTTCACAGATTATAGTGTTTTGCAGGATTATGTGCTGTCAGCAGCACATGCCATACAGTGCAATCTGTCCAGTTAAGAAGATCCCATAAGTTCGTTTTTTTAAGTGCTCTAGTAAGCCCACCTCAGTCTGTAATCCCAGTCCCAGCCATTGCTCATATAAAGGCTAATCACAGAATTATGTGCCGTCCTGAATGCGGACACATCTCTCACACACACAGACCAAACCATACTGCACTTTGACTGGTGTTATATGAAATTAACAGTAGATGTATAAGTATAACGATACGAGAAATGTTTGTGTCTGCCAGTCTGTCTGTCTCTTTGTTCATTTATGTGTTTAGGAATGTAGTATTTCTATCTAGCTTATAATTAGTTTTGGATCAGGTGACCCTGATTCTGCTCTAGGCTCAGGCTGCCCTTGTTTTACTCTGATTTGTTTATATGTCATGATTGCATGTTATTAACTTGTCTACACCCGCCTATAGTTCGAGTTTTGTCCTGTTAGCTGTTCTTCATCTCTCCGTTTTGTCTTGTTTCTTTTCACCCCTTGAAGTGGTGGTGACCAATGACAGCCCTGCTTGTTTCTGCTGGATTACTCTTCTTGTTTAAAAGGAAGTTGTTCTTCCCCTTGCTTGTTTGCTCAAAGAAGATTGTAGAATAGCATCCATATCTTCTATTTTAAATTCTGTTGAATAGAAGAAGCTACTAAATTCATAATAAAACTACAGACAAGGAAATCTAGGCCCATGTTGCTGCTATTCGGTCTATGTACTGTCCCCCATTCTTTTCGCTATCCTTTTTATATGGGAGGGCAATAGAGCAGAATGCTTCCATTCTTCCTGACATGGGATGTTGACAACACAGTCTTTCCTTTTTTCTTTTCTCCCCGTCTTTTATTTGGCCAGCAGCTGACAGATATTTCGGGCAGTGGGGCAAATGGTGATGGAGGATTGAAGGATAGAGGGAGGAGGGGGCAAATAGTCTACGAATGAGGGTCATAGAAATCTATTCATGACATTGCAGAGGGTGGGGAGTGAGAGAGAAAAGGGGGAATACACCGAGACATGAATAGTGTAAATGCGACAGAGAATCATTAACCAGAGAGAGGACAGTTACCCACAGAGAATGAATGAGAGCAATAAAGAGCTCCATGCGCTCGCTGCTGGCTGAGCTCCAACTGGGAGTTCATTATGTATTGAGCCGCACGAGTGCACGTGATCAGTCCAAGTATGGCTCCTCGCCCAGTCGTACTGAAAAAAATGGATACATACTGGTTTATAAACTGGTTTGATACTGTAAAGATCATATCCTCTGAGGATCATCATAATATCATCATCATATTATCATATTAAACTACTTTCACTGTGTCATACCCAAAAACAGTCAGCGGAGGGGTGGATCACAGACATCATCACAAATATATTTAAAAAGAAGTGAATAGTTTCCCACAACCAGTGATCACTATATTTGTATTGAACAGTGGTCAAACAGGAAGAATTAGAGAACTGGTTTACTGAGTAGAATAAATTAAAGTGACAAAGTAAAGTAGGAGTCATGCAGGCGATCTACTAAAGTGTGCCAGTTTCTGAACAGCAGCGCAATTTAGCAGGTTGCTGACAGCGCAAGTAGTCGAGCTGCAACATGCACGCAGCTTGGTAGTTGTAATCTGACCAAAATATTATAAAATTTCTATGTGAACATGACAATCAACATGCATTAGATGTATGTTCACCCTGTGAGGCTCACTGATGTGTTTAACAGTTTTAAGTCAACAGTAGAACTCTGCAGCTTAAATTTGGTTTGATGATGTGATATTTGATCATTTGTTGATATGTTGAAGCTGGACAGTACAGACACTGATTAATGAAGTAACACCTTTTCTCATTATTTATGTCATGCTGCTGTTGGGTACGGTCATTTCTTTTTGTTTAAATAGAAGACTGTTTAACTTAAATGTCAAACTCACTGGGGATTTATACAAATGACATATATGTGTCAAAGGCTGAACAAAGCCTGTAGGAGGTTAATTAATGATGTCAGGTCACAGACATGTAGGCAAATTATTGAGCTTCTATTTTCCACCAATAAATGGAGCCATTAGGATGTGGGGAACTCCGGGTTTCTGGACATGAATATTTTATGAAGGGTCACTTTGCTCCATTCATTTGCACTCGGTCTGACTGTATTGTTCCCCTTCTATCTGTCACACACAGTGGGGTTAGATTAACTGATGATTATAAAGTGTCCACAGGTGTGAATGTTAGTGTGAATAATTCTGTCTTTCTGTGTTAGCGATTTTGTTTTCTTTTTCCTTTCAACAAATCATCTGAAGTTGATGGTAACGGATGGCCGACCAAAGTTAAATTGATTCAGTCCCACAGGACTGTGCTGGCATTAATTACATTAGCAACTCATTAATCAAATTCAAACTGCCCTCCAGCCTCTGGGTCAACCTGACATCTCACAGGGTCTACTGTAAGGCTGTCAGGCCAACAAGCAGGCAGCTAGCCAATCTGTGTTTGTTTGATATAATATGTGTGTGTTCCTGTCTAGCTATCTTTGTGAGGACCGAAATCTGCATTCTGCTATACTTGTGAGAACCAACAGTCACTTGTGAGGACACAC